CTAGGCCCACAGCATTCTGGAGAGTGAGGAATCAGATACTGGCCTTTCAAGGGGGTGGGGGAGAGGGTGCAACAGAGAAATCAATTGGCATTCCTGTGGTCTTACAGCAAGTGAATAACTGAACAGGGCTGCTGATGGAGAGACCTTTAGGTCTTGCTTATGAATTTGACTTTGATTTAAGAGGCAGCTGAGAGCCACTGTGATTTCTGACTAGTGCTTGCTGAATCCAGAGTGAGTTCAGGTTGGATTAATATCGCTGTCCTCGGTGCAGGAAAATGCAGCTGCTTGATAATAAACAGGCTTGCAGAATTGGGTGGAAAAAGACCAGTGTTGCCTAACAGCCCCTTCTGTGCCTAGCACACTTGATTGACTGTCCTTACATTTACAGCTCTCTGTCCAGGTTGTCACAGGGAAAAACTCTACTTCTTAGAATCTAGCTGGCGCAAGAAGACCTCTCACCCTCATCCTACACCCTCCATCCCCAACAAACAGGAAAAAAAAAAGCCTTTTAAATGTGCTCAAATTTTGTGTAGCCCACAGTTATCTCTGTAGTCTGCTGATTCTCCCATGAGAATGCCCAGTGCAGTGCTGCAAATGCTGCAGTAAAATGAAAAAACAAACCAACCAACCACAAAAACCAACAACCCCAAGACTCTCTTCTGCTCAAAAGAGCCATTTGTAATTTGGAGCTTTATTGAACAATGTGTCTTTAGTTTGCCCATTTCTTAGTGACTGAGGTATTAGGAAAACATATCTGCACCTGTTGCAAAGTTTCATTTATGCAGGAGACAGGCAGACAAACAGACAGACACACATACACAGAGTATCATCCCAATTTTAGCATATGTGCTATTGAGCCAAGCACATGTACATATAAAGTATCACCCAAGTTTAGCATATGTCTTGATAAAGTAAACAGCATTATATATAGACACAAAGATTTCAAGGTTGGAAGAGTACTAAGAGGTCATCTGGCAAAGCCCTCCATCCTCCTCCTTGTCCCCTGACAGTGGATGCTTAGAGCATCTCTGTACTGCAATACCAAAGTTTGAGCAGCTCCAGTGACAAGCTGATTACTAACTTTCAGAGGCAGCTGGTCTCTCTGGGCAGCCTTTTAAAACAAGGGTCTTATTAAATAAAGTGAAACCCATCTCTCCTATATGTTTTGGCCTTTGGGGGCTGCTTCCTTCCTTTGGCATCACTCAGAACAAGGAATGTCCTTTTCCAAACAGGCTCAACCTTCTTGTCCTGGAGAAACTAAAACTAGCATCACAGTTCTCAGTCAGGACTTTCTGCTACAATGGTTCTTCCCCCTGACTGTTCCATTTTGATGGTGTTTCTAAGGTTAATTCTCCCAGTTGATACCACCACCACCCCATATTGCACTGCTTTTCTCTGCCTACCAAGCAAGCAAAGGCTTCTGGGTTTCTGGGCCCCTGTCGGTCCACTGCAGTGCCATCATTCTGCTTGCCAAAAGCCATTTAAGGCAGCAGGTAAGTAAGCAGTTGGAGGGGTGCATTGGGTTTCTGAGAGGCACCGGTCTAGCTAAGGCAGAAATAGGCTCTAACTTAATAATCTGCTCATCACACACAGTAAGAGACACCCTGACTTATTCAAAGACACTGTGGGTGGTGCAGAGGATGAATAAGCATGATTCACTGCCACTCTGGCACCCGGGGCACGAAGAATAATAAAACCCAAAGAATTGTAGCCGCCTGAGTAGTAAATTAAGAGATCCGGGGCTCAGCTAGACTCTAGACATCAATGTTACCATGGCAATAAAGGGCCCCAGCATTCAGCAGCTATTACAGAGCAGGCATCTAATAGGCTAGTCTATGTCACAGCCAAAGCCCAAGGGGCTAGCAAAGAAGACCAATTAGCATATCCATTCATTACGGGCCTCTGCACACTTCTTCTCTTAATTCCAATTAGTTGTTTGTTTGAACCAACGTCTCTTGCCTGCATTATACTCATTAGTGCCTTTTAGCTACTGGAAATAGGCTTGAATTTCCACAAGGACCTCACAATTTCCCAAGTCCTCATTTTTTCCCTAGGGGTCTAAGCTTATACAGTCACAAACCCATGGCCTTCAATCCCTCGAAATGAAAGCATCTCTCACTTTACAACTGTACTCGACAGATGGAAACTGCTCAGGAATGTGATGTGCTAAGGGTTCTTCCTGGAACCTAGTGAAATAGGGATCTGGGGCCATTATCTACGACCATTCAGGTCAAGGAAACCCTCTGGCCTTAGTCAGTGATCCTGCTGGCTATGCCTGCTGGCCACTATTCAGAGGCTAGCTGTTCAGGAGGGGGAGCTTTGGGCACTGGGGACCAGATTGGCATCATCAAAGTCAGGCAGTAACAGTTCCAGCTTGAAGGACTGCCCTTCAAGGGCCAGCCTAAATCCTGCCTATTCCAGGAAGCCTTCCCTGATCTTTGTAATCCCAAGTGAGTTCTTCCTCCTCAATGCACTTTGAAAAGGATACCCTTTGCTGGGCAGCATTTATGGGTAGCCACAGGCCCTAACCTGACCCAGAGCTTCCTTACCCAGTGGCTTCAGAATCCACAGGTCACTAATGCCAGAAGAGACTGGGATTTTAGAAAGCACTCAACAAAACCTGGGTAAATCCAATGGCAAACAACTCTGAAGCTCCACTGCACATGCCCAGAGTCTTCCCAAGGATGTAGCCAATCCCTGAGGTAAGGAAAATTCATAACTGCTCTTTGATGATTCTGGGACACACTGCTCCTGTTCACACACACGTTGGTAGAAATAGCCCACAAGAACAGATGCCATGAACTAGCCCATCTCATGGTAAAGTCAGATTCTCTGAAGGGTATTACCATCTCTTCCTAACACTGGGAACAGAACTGGAACAGTTTATAGGATTGTTTCTGTTCCCATTTGCTACTCTCACAACCATATAGTTTTACTGGAGCAGGCAACTAGGACAAAGTGCTTATAAAAGCAGCTAATACTTGTGCCCAAGGAATGGGCATGTACTTTTAGAGGCTTGGATAATTTGTCTTTAAATCTGCTGTCATATTCAAGGCTTCATTTTTCTCCTTCCTCTCTTACTTTTGTAGCCACTGCTCCATTTGCTGCCCCATTGGCCACTTCTGGCTCCATTCTGCTGCACTGCTAAGCATATTGCCTTTTTTCAAAATTGGCAGGAATGAGTTCTCCTTTAATTAGAGCCTTTTGAGCATGAACTCATACAGATTTTTGTTTTTGGCACCCTATGGGATTTGGTTATTGTACCCCACCCAACAGCTGACATTCCAGAAGGCCGTCTGGACTATAGTAGAAATACATTGCAAATATATTAAGTATTTAATATATTACTTAATTGCCCAGAATGTTAGGGAATGAAAGATTCTGGAGAATAGAATATTTTGTTACCTGAAGTCATGTCACTCCAAGTCCCCATTAGTCCCTCTACTCTTGGTTTTTAAAATGTTACTATCATGATCATGCTTTCTTTTCTGCCTTAGTAAGACAAGACCAGTTAACTTATTCTTTGTTTGATTTTGAGGCTTCCAAGGACCTCAAAATTCTCATATTTGGGGCTGGGGTTGTGGTTCATCGGTTCAGCACTTGCCTAGCATGTGTGAGGCAATGAGTTCGATTCTCAGCACCACATATAAGCAAATAAATAAATAAAGGTCCATCAATAACTAATAAAATATATTTAAAAAAGAATTTTCATATTTGCCATCAGGAATCACAAAAATACTGGAGTAGAAAAGGTGTAAGAGATAGAGCTCATACCAGATAGAGCTCATATCCTGTAGAATATATTTTGCTTTTATTAAAATCCAAAGAGAGGAATGAATTTCTCCTTTTGTATGTGGTTTCTTTCTCTTGAAAGAAGAGTTTGAGGAGACTTGGTTAAGGAATAGTCCTGATTACTAATGTTATAGTAAATGGAGCTCTTTTTTAAAAAAATTAACCACAATTGAAGCCATTTTCATCAGAATAGCCTAGACTTAGAGTTATTAAATTTAAGTGATTGTGCTATTTTTCTTGGTTATTAATATGTCCAGAATCTCAGTTTCTGTGACATCCTCAGCCACCTGAGTATAATGGGGGGTGATTTTGAATGAAGGATCACAGACTCCATCCAGGCCTTTTAACCACCCAGGCTCCAGCAGAATGGACCAAACAGACCAAAAATGCTATACAATGTTCTTGGCTGTTTCTACTAATTTTTCTTTTGTTGGATCCCACGTTGGCTTCAGTAGTTACATATGTCTGGGAAACTGACACTGCAAAGTTCTGGCTTGTTCCCTGCCCTGATGCTAAGGGATAAATATAGATCTCAACCACTACAGAAATTTGGCCAGGATTCCAAGGGGTGTGTGTATGAGGGGCAGTGACTGATGGGGCCACTCCGACATGTGGTCTAGAAAAAGGCTTTTTTATGTCTAAGACCCTCTTTGGGTCAGGAAGAGGTAAAGCAGAAGCCTTGCTTCTAAAAGCAGAAGGCATAATCCACATTTTAGGGAGCTCCTGAATTGACACAAATAAGGAATATTGTAGGTGGTTTAGAGTGTGTATGGGGAGGGGGAGGGAGAGAGCAAAGGGAATCTTTCCTGACACCCTAGATCCTTTTGCATGAGATCAGCCTTATGAAAAAAGCAAGTTATTCTTGGCCATCTCCCCTCACCCCCCAACTCCCACCCAATGCCCCACCCGCTGCACACACTGATAGCCAACTCTCAATTGAGAAGAATATGACTTAAGATTTCCATTGGGCCCATTATATCTCAGGAGCTGGAGAAGAGCAAGGGGTGGAAAGACACACGAAGGGGGGGTGAGTTGCTCATCCTCGTGACCCAGAATATCTCCCCCTCCCTGTAATGATGAGCTTGCTTTTCCATAAGGGCTTTCCTTTGATTCGGGGAAGGGGCCAACCAATGAGAGAGGGGCATGTTAGATTATTTTGGGGAAGGGCTCATGCCAGGAGGGTTCACTTTTACCAGGCTCCAAGTGTCCCCAGCAACCAGTGTCTCCTGTACCAGCAGAAGCTCCAGATCTCTGACCCACTTGCTGCCTCCGCGGCGTCTTTGCCCACAGAACAGCTATGAGAAGGCAACTCCGGTCCAGAAGGGCTCCTGCCTTTCCTTACGGTTATCGCTTCAGACTTGTGAGTCGCAGGGAGCAGAATATTTTGCTGCCACTTTTTAACAGGGTGGGTTGGGGGCTATATAGGTCTTGGATTAAGGCTGCCTCTCCTTGGAATGTGCAGAAACAGTGAAGTTTAAGGAAAGGCAGGGTTTCTAGAAGGAGCAGTGAGTCTCAACCTTCCAGGGCACCCTAAATTGCTAAATGGAAGGAGGAAGCCCCTCTTCCTGTAGAACAAAGATAAGGGAAGGGGAAGATGCCAGAGAATAAGAGGGCTTTCTAAAGTTCTTTTCTTAGGAGCCTAGATTTTGAACAGACCTTTTGGAGTCTGAGAGTGGAGATTTCATTCTGATAGTGCAAAAAAAAATTAGCCAAGAGAGAAGGGAAGGAGAAGAGGAAATGAAAGGCACTGCCTACCCAGCTGTCTCAGTCCCTTTGGGTGGTAGCTTCTTAGGCCCCAGCTGCTCTTTTTCTAAAGCAGAGATTCCAAACTATAACTAAAATCATAGAATCCTTGTTAGGAGCTGAGAGGAATCCTAGATACCATTTCTCCAGAACACCATCATTATGTAAAGGAGGCTGCTGGGGCTCAGCATGGCAGAGTGACTTGCAAGTTAGTGGAGGAACCAAAGTGAGAACGAGTCTCTTCATTTCTAACCTCATACTCTTTCCACTCCCTATCCCCTGATCCACCACTACCCATTTACCACCTTGCCTGCCACTGCACCCTGCTTCACACACACACACACACCTTTGGTTTCACCATTTATCTCCAGGGTGCATTATTTTATCCAAAAGTTTCTCTGCATTTACTTTGGTCTAAATCATTAATTTACGCCCCATTTGGTGGGGGGTGGGGTGGTGGATATTCTTAAGTCTTCCTCAGAGACGATTATGATCTGAGCCGCAGGAGGAAACAAAACATAATCCATCTTTATTTGGATATGACCATTTATATAACAAGGGAATTAAGTGAAGACTGTCAACAGCCAGAAGAAGACATGACTTCTTCTAACCCCACATCAACTACTCAGGGTCCCCATTTGCTTTCTAACTACAATCTTTCTTTTGATATCCCCAAAGTCCCTTCCAGCTCTCAGAGCAGTCATGGTCTATAGGACATATCTAACCATTCTTTACTTGGCTTCTTTTTTATGTAATGCTGCTAAAGTTGTGGATAATTTCAATTACTTGGGTTTTAAGTACATCAGAGGATCTTACTCTCTATAATACTTGATCAGATTTAAAAATTATTTGATGTAGTTGTATGCTTAATTTCTCTTTTTAAATTAATCAACCACTCAAGTGTTTACAGGGTGTTACTCAATGCAGGGCACAAATTTATCCTTTGGGTCATATCCTTGGTCATGTTTATATATTTGTTTATATGTTCATATATTTAGATTGCTCAAAATGGAGCCACCCCCTGTCCTTCAGACTTCCCTTTTAGGGAAACATGATGGCTTCAGCACACACCCACTACCAAACCCCAGCACACTCACATACTCTATCACATGGGGATAGCACCACTTTAGGAAACTGAAAAAAAACAGAACCTTGTGGGTAAACATTCTCATAACCAAATGATTCTTTACCAAATTTTGTTAAATAGTTGCATGAAAGTACATTTTTACACAGGATTTAATTAATGACGAACTTTTGGGGAAGGCTCCTCTTATACAATGTGTACAATATCAAAAAGATATTTGAGGTTCCTAAAGTAAGGCTCAGATGGTATAAGATCTGTGGTGTAAGCTCTGAGAAGATTAATTCTTCCCAGGAGGGTAAGGCTTTAATGACAAGCCATTTTAATAGGATTATCATGAGAGCTCATACCTACAAATAAGATCAGGTTGAGGCCATGGCCAGCTGTCTCCTCTATAGACTAGAGGTGGAAGGCAGATGTAAGCAACAAGAAAAACAGTTGTTCTGAAAATATAAAGGGAATATAAATTCATCCATGATGAAACATTAAACATTACATTTCAAATTCTCAAAGATTCTCAGGTGTAGTAAACTCTAGGGGTTCTGATGACTACCCATTCTAGTGCACATGATTGCTGAGGTTAAGGTGACAAGCTTTGTGAGTGTATTTCCCCAGAGTCCTACATCAGGACTCTTAAGTCAGGCAGGTATCATTGATATTTAATCAATACTCACTGGGTACATAGCTGTGGGCTTCACATTGTGAATGGACAGCAAGAAGTTAGAACATATAAACCCTCCCCCTAGCTGCTCAAAATGTAGTTCGGAAGGTCAAATGTGTAATAGGTTCACACACAAGTGAAAGAGATTTAAGACCATTTATTAATCCATTCAACATTGAGTGACAGATGAAGTTTATTTTCCTAAGCCTTATATTGTGAATTCATATTACAATCAGAAATCCTTGGTCATAAGTGCCTACAATCTCTTGGGAACACAGAACCCAGGACATTATCATTCTTCATAAATCTGCTAAGCAACCTCTAGGCACTTATGCTTAATGTGATGGAGAAGAAACATCATTGTCCAGAGTATTAAGACACAGGTTCTGAGACTGTCTACTCTGTTATGAATTTGCTGTATGGCAGATCCTGTCCCCTTTCTTGGCCTCAAATGGACAAGCAAATCTTGGATGTCCCTGTCAGTTTTGATATGCTGTATGATATAGAGCTATACATTTGAACAAATTAGAGAGCAATTCAAGAGTGCTTATAATCAAGAGCTAGATAGTGCTGGGCAGACTGAATGGTGAGAGTAGAGCCTTGTCATTCTTTATCACTTATGCTGATTTTGAATGATCCAATTTGCTGAATTCCCTCACCAAAGGCAGCATTTTTAACTGAGTGCCCTCTAAGTGGCCTTTGAGGAATCAGGCAGGGAGGGGGCAGCAAGGAGCCCCTGGCCTCTAGCATTTGACATATCCAACCCCAACAGGTGCACAGTCCCTGCCAGTCTTCAGACTTGGACAGCAGAGAGAAAGGGAGGGTGGCCTCATTTTCTGCTGCTGCAGTGAGCCTTGGCAAACTCCCAAAGAGCAAAGATACAAGCTTCCAGCCTGTGGCTGGAAGGCATTTGAAACACCACTTGGTGAAGTCTGGGTTTTTCTTTTTCCTTTCTTTGTATTTTTTAAAGTTTCTTAGAACCACTTAGAGAAGATTACAATTTCATATCTTAAGTAATGGCTGCAATCAGTCAATCAACAAATACATATTGAGCACTTCCTATGTGCCCAGCTTTTTGCCTAGGTTATGGGGTAGGAGTAGAACTGGGAAAGTTATCTGTTGGGGCCCTAGCTCTCAGGTTGTCTGTCTGTCTAGCTTAAGGCAGGAAGGGGTTCCAGCTAGGGCAGTAGTTAGAGAAGTAGCAAATAAATCCCCATCTCTTGTTTCTGTTGGGAAGGCAGTCCAAGGTTTGAGGAGGGGTATAGCAGTTGGCTTCTTCTCTTGATGCCTGTCCCAGGGTATTTTTAGGAACAACTTGGGATGGTGAGGTTGAGCAGCTGAAAGTGTACAGGGTGTTAGGACAAAGCAGGCAAGGACTGAGAATTTGCCATCATAGACATAAATGTCTAAGACTACTCCATTCTCCACTGTGAACTCAACTCTTTCCTGACAGGTCAAAGTTAAGCGTAAGGCCAAGGCCCCCGAGACAAAATATTGACAAGAGATGTCCTAGGGGAAGAACCGAAATGCCTAAAGCTGAGAATAAAACTTATACCTCTATGGAAAGAATACTTACTCAATATGGGTCATAGAAAGGATATTTCCTCCAAAAGAACAGAAAGAAAATCTACCTCTTGTAACAATGGATGTTTTGGGGGAAGTGGAAATTTGAAGTGTTTTCAAATATTGAGTTGTTCCCACTTATTTTTGGCTGATGGGATGTGCCATTGGAAATTTTGTTCAAAAAGGAGATTTTGTTTTGTCTCTGTTCCAGGATGATCAGGATGAAGTGAATCAGAACTACTTAGCAGATGAAGAAGAAGAAGCAGAAGAAGAGGCTCGGGTGATGATGGTGCCTGATTTGGAGGAGGAGGAAGAAGAGGAAGAGAAAGAGGAGGAGGAGGAGGAGGAAAAGGAGGAGGAAGAGGGTCAGGGTCAGCCAACAGGCAATGCCTGGTGGCGGAAATTGCAGATCATGAATGAATACCTGTGGGACCCGGAGAGAAGGATGTCTCTGGCCCGAACAGGTCAGAGTTGGAGTAAGTCCCATTTGTCCCAATGCCCCAGTCTGGTGTCCTTCGCTTTTGGTGTGGTATCCAGGACTTCTTTACCATACACTGGATGGACTTGTTTGCAAAGTTTTCTTAACATTTCACATAAAAGCACTGATACCTAAGGAAATGTCTGGACTGTGGATAGATCCAGCAAAACAAATTCCAAATAGATGAACAAACTTGATTGTGTAACTGAAATCCACTGGGCTTAATATGCAATGCAAAGAGACAGTGAAAATGAGTTGAAAAAGCATAGGATTTTTTAAAAGTCCCAGCCCTGTCATTTTCTATCCATGTGACATTGGGCTCATCATTTACCTTCTCTTAGCCTCAGTCTCCCCACTTGCCAAATGAAGCAAACAATCCCTGCCTTGTCTTTCTCACAGGATCAGCGTGTTACTCCAATAAAATGCTAAAATTGTAAAGTTTAAAGTACTATGCAGAAGACCTATTTCTAGGATATGACCCAAGTCTCTGTTAACCTGATCAAGGGCTTATTTATTTATTGGTACTGGGGATTGAACTCAGGGGCACTTGACCACTGAGCCACATCCCCAGCCCTTTTTTATATTTTATTTTGAGACAGAGTCTTGCTGAGTGGCTTAGCACCTCGCTAAATTGCTGAAGCTGGCTTTGAACTTTCAATCCTCCTGCCTCAGCCTCCAGAGCCGCTGGGATTACAGGCATGTGCCACTACGCCCAGCCTGATCAAAGGTTTATAAAGCCTTATCACTTCACCTCGTAATGTCAGAGAAGAAGAACTAAGATGCCTGTCCCTGGCCTCAGCTTGGGAGTGCTTTATTCTCCCATGGTAGACACAGGGGAATTAGATTGAACAGAATCATTACCAAAGATTAGGGCTGAGCTTCCATGCTGTTTGCTCAACAGCAGAATTTTGTTCCTTAGCTTTTCTTTTTTGTCACATGATCCCACTATTTTTACTTCACAACCTCCCCAGCACTGCTTCCTGGGGTACTACTCACTTAAACTATTATTGCTGGACCTTCTCCTCAGGAGATTTTTGCCTGTAGTAAAATTCACACTTGCTACACTCTACACAACCCAGAAGCAGAGAAGTTGCTGGTTTGGAACTCAGTTAATCCACAAGAGAAAAAAAAAAAAAAAATAGAGGACGCCATGAATGAAATAAGAGTCCTCTTATTATGCCAAGGGTCTAGCTTGCTGAGGTTGGTGGCCATGCCTTCCAAAGGCCCCTGTGACTGAGAATTCTCTCTTTTGTATTTAATGTGGCTAATTCAGCGTAGTGAGGGTAAAATAGCCAGCCCTGCTTCCCGGAATTAGGAATAGCAGGTGTGCGGCTCTGAACAACACCCAGCTCCCAGTCACCCCTCCTCAGTTCCCAGCTCCACCCCTGCCCATCCCTCAAACTCAACTGGAACAAATGTACCATTATACAGACATTCCAACATTCTGGAACCTGCAGACAAATGCTGGACACTCACTGGGGCTGCAAAGGGACACAGCTGTTTCTCTCATGCCTAAAGACGACTGGAAAACAGGCCATGTGAAATGCAAGTGTGATTCTGGGAGGAGGAACCATGCTTTAACCCCTAAACAGCCAGCTGCTGGAACTTCACCAGTTGATCTAAATTGTTCCTGTGGAAGATAACCCAAGACCAATAAGTGGGGATGAGGGAAGAAGTTTCGAGTACCTAGAGAAGATATGGCAGTAGAGACGCTGCACAGTAGGCCCTAGCCAGACGCCGGGGTAGCAGGTCTAAGGGGAGCCCAGTAAATCCAGCTTCTTCTGTTAAGCTACTCGTAGGCAAAGGCAAACGGCAATATTAATGCTTAGACTATAAAGCACATGCCTTGCTGCCCTCTTTCCTGAGAACTGGATGTCCACTTGAGCATTTACTAACCCTGTTCCAGCGTGGACATCAGCATGTTCAACATATTCACCCAGCCTATTAATATACTCTGGGTTTTTCCTTTGGTAGCTGGGCAACCTGTATTCTTAGGACCTATATGTTATTTATTAGATACTGACAAGAATCATCTGAGGTAGTAATATTATTATCCCCATTTTACAGATGCAGAAACTGAGGCTTAGAGAGGGTAAGTAACATATCTAAAGTCATATAGTAACCAAGTGGCAGTGCTGGGATTCAAACACCAGAGTTCATTCTCTTGCCAGAATATCATACTATTTTCATGAATTGCAACAATGAACAAGTCCCTGAAGGGGACTCAGGACCAGATGGGCTCTTCTGAGATGGCTCCTGCTGTTGATTCATTCCGAAAATGGGGATGGGGGTGGAGGAATGGAGGAGGAAGCACAGGGTACATCCCATTAGGGTAGCCTGTGGGCAACAGCCAAGTATCACAGGCACACTGGCACTGTTGTTTCTTCTCCAGGGACTCCAACTGAATCAATGTGCTCATGTTCCAGTTCTGCTTTAGTTCATTTTATAAAACATAAAGGGTAATTTCCATTTCTAGTTTGACTACTCAGGGTTCTTCTCCCCACCCCACCCCTCTTTCTTTCTCTCACAGTTAATTTTATTTAGCTTAGGGTTCCATTTAAAAATTAAACATTTGAATTCAGTTTGGAGTATAGCAAAGTTATGTGGTTTGTTCTAGTTTCTGGTTCATGATTCAGTTGGGCCTATCATAATGATGACTGCCATTTATAGAACACTTAGTATCTGTCAGGCTCTGTACTATACTGTTTGTATGCATTATTTAATGCTAAGAACTAAGTGCTATTATTATCCTTATTTTGCAGATAAGGAAATTGAGGCCCAGAGAAGTGAGAATAGCACATCCAAGAGTACAGAGCTGGAAAGTTATATAGTCAGGTTAGGATGTAAGAAAGGCTGAATTTCAGATATTGTTAGGGATATAGATAAGGAGATAAAGTAGGTGCTAATCTTATCCTCATTTTACCTGTGGAGAACAATGGGTACAGAGAGGTTCTATAATTTGCCCAAGTTCACGGACAGCAAGTGTCAGTGATTAAATACTGTTTCCTTCTCCTCCCTTCCCCACCCTATGTTAGTTTTTTTTTTTTAATTTTGAAAAGCAAAGCCACTTAAACTTTGCTAAAGATGAATAAGATTTGAAATAATTAGTATAAAACCTCACTTTGCCTTGATTAGCGGCAAGTCCAATGGAAATTAATCAAAAGTTTGAAATGCTGTGAAAGGAAATGCTGTTTTCATCACTTGCAAATACATATAATCACTGGAACCAAGCTGCTAGGACACTTCAGGGCATCTGCTTTAATGAATAGTGAAGAATGATTTGTACTTAGGACATCAGCTGTTGCCCAGAGGACTCTCAAGCAATTTGCCCTCTGCAGTACTTTAAACTCCACTCCCTGTAATCTTGTTTATGGTCATCATGTGCCCAGCAAGCCCTTCCATCTGGAGACACTATGAAGGTAAACTGCAGTCGGACTCCTGGCAAAATCCTCACCGGTTCCAGATTGGTAAAATCTGAATAAGCAAGGACATACAGAATCTGGGGAATTAAAAAAAAAGCCATCTCATGTTTGGGTTGGTTCTGGATCATGAGTTCAAAGTGGGGAGGCAAGGCTTGTTGGTGAGCACTGACCACTGTCATTTTTAATTGCTCTGCAGGCCTGGTTTTAGTCATTTACTTCTTCTTCTATGCCTCCCTGGCTGCTGTGATCACCCTCTGCATGTATACACTATTTTTGACCATCACTCCTTACATGCCAACCTTCACTGAGCGGATGAAGCCTCCTGGTGAGTGTGCCCAAATGCCCTATGTTGTCAGGACTCGCTGGACAGAAATCCGCTTGCACAGCATGTTCAGCCTCAATTAACTTTGGTTCTTCCCGGTAATGACTTAGAGATTCAATTATTAAGAGTAAAAGTAAAATGGTACTTGGCAAATTATGATCCTTTTCATTTTGATTGCCTGGGGGGAAATGGTTTCATGGGAATCAATACAAAAAAATTATCCAAGAATGGGTTAATATATCCAAGACCTGTTTTCATTGCCAGGAGTTATGATCAGACCCTTCGCCCATAGCCTTAACTTCAACTTCAACGTTTCTGAACCTGACACTTGGCAGCATTATGTGATTAGCTTAAATGGCTTTCTTCAGGGTAAGTAAACTCCTCTGAATAACAGAAAACTCTCTTGAAAGATGATGAGTGGGAATTCATAATTCGAAATTCACCTAACCCAGAAATTCCAGGCTTACTAACCAACCCCAGTCTATCATGGTCTTTCCTTACTTTACATTCCCCCTCAGCACCCTTCATACTATTGAAACTGCTCTAGTGTATGATATATGTTGCTTTGAGAGCACACAGGTCAATTCCGCAGCTAGACAATAAGCTCTTTGAGGCAGAAAATATGCTTTATGTTCATGAACACTAAACAGAACCTAGTTAAGTCCTAAGCATATCCAGGTGGTTAGTAGTGATTACTTATAAAAGGTGACTCAGAGTTGGGCATGGTGGCACATACCTGTAATCCCAGCAACTCATGAGGCTGAGGCGGGATGACCACAAGTTTGAGGTCAGCCTCAGCAATTTAGTGAGACCCTGTCTCAAAATTTAAAAAAAAAGTTAAAATGACTGGGGTGTAGCTCAGTGGTACAGTGCTTGCCTAGCATGTACCACTGAGCCCTGGGTTTCGTCCCAAGCACTGAAAAAAAAAAAAAAATCAGGAGGGAGATAGTGAGGAGGAGTAAAGGAAAATGTTCTTTAGAGCTGGAGAATTCCTGTCTCCTATGCTTTCTCATGGTAAGAGAATTTGTTTATTGGAGATGGGCTGTCTAGAAGGGAGAAAACAAGTGTCTTTAGCAGCATTCCAAAAAGGAGTCAGAGGAATAATTTCTGGGTGGCATCACTCCAGTATTTTGATCTCAAATATTTGAAGATGCCTATCTCTATGTTATCAGACACAATTTCAGGGACAAAATAATGGCTTTGTGGGAGTTCTAACACATGGTAAAAGTTGAGGTTGTAGCAGCTTGGTTAAAGTTAAATCCAGAGAACCCAGGTTCTGTATTTACCCAACTGTCCGAGGAGCCCAATAGAGTTTGTGTTGCTGCTCCCAATCTTCATAGAAAAAAAGTTCGTCAAACTGGTTTGGTTGATCTGGTCTGGCTAAAGTGGGGGATGAGGGTGCCTAGAAGAATGTACACTGAATTAGGAGGATAACAATTTTATGTACCATGAAGTGTTATTTGAAATAAATGAATTTTGTCATTCAACTTTAACCCTGCATAATAGAGTCCACTGTCCTTGTTTTACAAATGAGTGCATTGAGACTCAGAAAGGGGAAGTAACTCGATCAAAATCTCCTAGAAGTAGAGCCAGTGATTGAACCAACATGTTTTGATGCCCTTGAAACTCAAAAGGGTTTTCCAGGGATCTGAAGCATGGGCATTGCTTGGGACTCTTAGAAAGGCCTGGTCCCACCACAGAGTTACTGAATCAGAATCTGCATTTTAACAGAATCTGCAGGTGATCTATATGTTTTTCACAACTCTACGCTGTTACCATCTGACCAGGAGTTGAAAACTTAGCTTTGTAGCAATAATGCTCAGGTGTTATTTTGGGTAAAACTGAGCTTCAGGTTCTTTACCTATAGAATGAAGGGGGCTGGGTTCTTTCTGAGTCCATATAGTTCCATTCTTAGCCACAAAAATGTTTTGGGCATCATAGCTAGCACAATATCTTCTTTTCTTTCAAAATGCTTGTGATTGCAAATATGTATATGTATTGCAAATATGTATATCGCCAGAATCTCTGCTGAGGAAACCCATTTACTAGCTGACGAGAAGCTAGTAAATGGAAAAATACCAATTGTGACCTGATGATGGAGGCAGGGAATGTTAGGATAAGTATTGGGGGTTTTGTTCCTAAGAGTAGATAATATGTCCTGCTAAAAAGGAACACATCTCTGAAATAGACATCCCAGAGTATCAGTTTCATTCTCATGAGGACTGAGATTTTGCAATAAGGGTCATGCCCATGTCACATTATTTTTAATGGAACTACCTCAAGAGAAACAATGAGCACATGATTGCAGTTTCTATTTAGAAAGTTATTATTTGAGCATAGCTCCTGTTCCTAAAAAAAAAAAAGAGCAAAACAAAGACTTGAATTTAATGTAGCATTGTCAGAGAAAAATAAAGGCATAGCCATAATTGGAATAGATTTAAAATTCCCAGTTGTCTCTTAGTAATATCAAACCCAAGTCACAACCTGTCTAGATATGGATCCAGCATTTCATTTTGAGTTTTGCCTCTGGTGGCTCATAACTGCACAATCTCCTTTGAAAAACTGTGCTACTTTGAACATGAATACATGGGGGCTTCGTCTAATAGGATTAACTTGGTTCCATCAGTTAGAACCAAATTGGAAATAATGCAGTGATTTGCAAAGCCTATTTTCCTAGTATCTGGTAGTTGAAAGAGTGAACACATAGCTCTCTTCCCTTATGTGTATTTCTTGGACACCTATTACATTCCATCCAATGCAAAGGGACACTATCCTAGGTGTCTCAGGTCTCAGGAGACAAGATCTCACCCCTTCACCTTCTCAGTGGAGACCCTATGGTTGTCACTGGTTTCTATCTTCAACCTAAGCTCTTATTTTGCAGTGCTACCTTCCCACTGTTAAAAAAGAGAAGCTGATTTATTTTCTCCTCCTCCTTCTCCTCCTCCTTCTCTTCCTCTTCTTTCATGTTCCTTCTGTTCCACAACACATAATTCTCACTCTCTTATATCAGGTACCTCTCATTGACCTTGAAAGGAGACATTTCCTAGGCTGAATTTAAGGAAATTTAACCTAGGAACTTAGCCTCCTTGTATGTGCCATGCCTTTTCACAACTCAGTCCGTCTTCCAAAATCTACCAACTATATACCCATTCTTCTCCCAGAAGTAGAGAAGCTAGCCCTTCAAGTTTACAATGTATGGAAAGAAATAGAGAAAAGTTATCATGTGGCCAACATGCGACCCTGAGATAGATATCCAGAAATTCTAAGCAAATGAGAAACAAAGGGAGCAGGCAATCAAGTGGGCTGAGGTGGCTAGCCAGGAAGCCACACATCCCACCTGCCCAGGGATAGTGCTGATGAAGGCCTTTGGGCAGCTCATGGCAGGTCAGAAGAATTACAGTAGACTTGGGTTTTCAGAGGGGGATAAGCAAGGTAGAGAAAAGAAATTAGGGAGAGAGGACTAAAAGCATGGCCTTTCCTTGTAGCACTTGTCTAACACCACCCTTTGCCACCCACATGTGCTTTAGGTTATAATGACAGTCTTCAAGAGGAAATGAATGTAGATTGTCCTCCAGGGCAGTACTTCATTCAAGATGGCGATGAGGATGAGGACAAGAAGGCCTGCCAATTTAAGCGCTCCTTCCTAAAGAACTGCTCTGGTCTGGAGGACCCTACTTTTGGATATTCTACTGGACAGCCTTGCATCCTCCTAAAGATGAACCGGGTATATTAACCCCTGATATCTGTTGTTGATAAGTGAATGAGCTGTGTAGAAGGGCTCTGAACACTATTTGTTTTGGGCTCTGGTCTTTACTTAAGCACTGCAAGTCTGGCCATTCTTTTTTTTTTTTTATTGGTTGTTCAAAACATTACAAAGCTCTTGACATATCATATTTCATACATTAGAACAGAGCAGGGAGGAAAAGCAGGAAGAAAAGATTAACATTAAAGAGAGACATGAGATGGGAGGGAAAGGGAGAGAAAAGGGAAATTGCATGGAAATGGAGGGAGACCCTCATTGTTATACAAAATTACATATAAGAGGTTGTGAGGRGAATGGGAAAATAAACAAAGTCTGGCCATTCTTATCAACAGCATCAGAAATGCAACCAAACAGTCGAAGCTATCAGTTCCTTTCTCTCCCTGAACAGTTCCTATTGCCACATCTCAAACCCACTCTTAAACCTGCCCCATTGATGGCCTCTGTCAAGAATAGAGTCCTGAGATGTTTGGAACAGAGGATTGAAATGGGGGTGTGGCGGGGATGGTTCTTGTATCATTGAAAAAAATGCATTTTCCTGTTCTCTTGTCATACCCTAGATGTGGCAGAACCTTACCCAGCACACTCCTTTTGGAACCAGAAAGTTCTTTACATCTTTATGGTTATCTGCAATTTTCCCTCAGGCACAAATACAACATGGAGTCAGCTGGGCTGATCCACTCTGAAGATGTTCAGCCTTTTCCACTATTCATGACATATCTGACGGGGCAAAGTAGATGTAGTTTATGCCAGAGGAAAGATAACTCAATGGGGGTTTAGAAAAGCCTCATTTTTTACTGTTAAATCTGTTTTTTAAAACTACTATTTTCTGTTGTTGTTTGTTTTTGTTTATTTGGTTTTGCTAGATTGTAGGCTTTCGTCCTGAGCTTGGAGATCCCGTGAAAGTTTCCTGCAAGGTTCAGGTAAAGTGTCCTTTTGAGTAAGCATTGTTAGCACATCTATTTCATCCAAAAAAGTAGTTGAGCCCTTCCATGCACTTACACAGGGATAGTGCATGTTAGGGAAAGTGTTCATATTTTTCATAACTATACCTCTATTAGTGTCTTCAGGTCTTCCTTTTTCTGGAAAGCATTCAAAGCATGTGTGTGCAGTGCATATGTGTCTGTAAGAGAGAGTCGGTGTGTCATGATTTATACCTGTGAAAGCCAAAGACTGAACCTCAGCTAGGAGCCACAGCAGGGAACAATAATGTGCCAAGTCATTAATTGGAATTCTGTTTACACTTTTGCTTTTAGCTCTAATTACTTGTTTCTTTGAACTAAACAAACAGCTTTCATTAGAGTCATTAGTCCCTGATTTTAAAACTGAATTTCACATTTTGCAGCAATGACCAGTGGCACTGGGTGTTGCAATAACAAATGACTACAAGGGAAGTATAAACAGAACTTCATTAATATGCTAATTAACTGGACCATTAACTCCTATCTCATCTGCACCAATTAGCTCCTTTGTAAGAAAAAGCCCTAGATCTTGGATTTGCTTCTTAAACTGGTAGTAGCTTCCTCCTGTAAAGTGACATCAACTGCTCTCCCAGCCTTGGACAGTTGTCTGGCAAATATGAGTGGCCAGGTAATCCCATTCTCAGTACTAGAAGTAAAACTCAAAACTCCACTCTTCATGGTGGCAGGTGAGAAAACAGCAAAAGACAGTATTTATCCAGCCAATATCCCACATTTGGCAAGCATGTATTGATTGCCAAATGCAGTATTTCACTAGGTGCTGGGTACTGAAATCCAGACAATGAAGTATCACAGGTACAATGAAAAGTACAGTGGGGACATTTAAGAGAGGAAGGTCAGTTCCAGGTGGGAGGTGGTATTGCTGAAGATGAGCTTCGAAAGGTCAGGCAGTATTTGCCTGGTGAACAAAGTAGGAAGGACATTCATTCTGTTCAAATGTATGCACGTGTGTGTAAATAGTTACACATGTGAGGTGTTACTACCAACTAGTGGAATTGATTCCACAGGCGATTCATGAAAAATAAATTTTACTGCTTTTAGAAGAATATATAAGTAAATCATAAAGACCAATGCAGACTTAAATTAGCATTCTTTTTTTCTGTGCTGAAGATGGAGCCCAGGACCTTGAGCACACTAGGCAAGTGCTTTCCACTGAGATAAACTCCAGCCCTTAAACCAGCTTATTAATTGAACCAAGTTCCCAAATGGAAGTTGTTCATTTGTTTTTAGCTTACATCAAACCTTGCTAAGAACTATATTTTTAAAAAAAGAAATATTAAGAGTCTCTATACATTCTATAACAATCAATACTGGTCAAATCCACATCCACTTGTGGAAATCGAGCAGGATGAAGTAATGACTAGAATAAATTATGAAGACCTCAGTTTATACCAAGGATAATTATAGTATGCTGGAAGAAGTAATCATATGACCCTAGTGAGTAATTCACTAGTAGTGATGCGCTATTTGTTCATATTATCCCCCAGACCTCTGCTATTTAGGGTAAGCCTAATGTATAGGCAGATGGGCAGCCCCCTACCTGACATGTTATGATAAGAGTAGCCCTGTTTAATTATTTCCATTACCTACTTCTCTCTACTTCCATCCTCCTGACTCTACCTCCTATAATTAAGCACTACAGAGAATGTGATCAGAGACATAAGGTTAGATAAGCCAAATGAAGGCTGTGTGCCTATGCATTGGGTTTCTGTGTTCTCTGATCTGATTCCAAGAACCAAGAATCATAGAACCAAGCTTGCAATGTACAAGTTGTGGAGTAAGATTTAATAAATGTGTTCCAATTTATAACTTCCTCAGCTCCAAAGTCAAGACTGGTTGCCAAGCCCAGTGTGACTCTTTTTTTTTTTTTCCAGTGTGACTCTTTAGAGAAGGGATAGAGTGGTAGACTTTCTTTCCAGAGCAGCATCAGGTACTAAGAGCCTTTGAAACCTTTTTGTTTGAGTCCTCTAAAAGCAAGAACAGAGCCACATGGAGTGCCTTCAGCCTCCTCATCCCAGGCCTTCTGTTCAATATTCTTTGAACTTGAAAAGCCAAGGGAAGCCATTCTCTGGAAATGGTCCTCTGTGGATAGGTCAGGAGAGACCTCTGCCCCATTCTTTTGCAATCTTTCTGGGACACTTGATTATGGGTCACACAGTAATTTCACCTGGGACATAAATCCCTTTGGCCCAGACTCCAATCCACTTTATAATCTAGCATCCCATGTATACCTGCTTTTGCTTACAGAGAGGTGATGAAAATGACATCAGATCCATCAATTACTACCCAGAGTCGGCTTCTTTTGACCTTCGATACTACCCTTACTACGGCAAACTGACTCACGTAAGTAAGCTGTATCCCTTTCCTTCTTTGTGGTCAAAAAGGGCTCAGATACAAAGGAAGAGCTGTCTGGGATTTATTAGAATTAGGGAGCAACAGGTAGTAACAGACTGGTGAATAGCTGAGGTCCATAACCAGGAACTCCCTCTACAAGTTCATATCACAAATACATGACATTCCATATCTGAAAAAAAAACTCATATATTGTGTAGTGTAACCACTTCAGATTTCAGATGGGAAAATTGGGGTTCAGAGAGAGGAAGTGACTTGCCTAAGGTTACACAGCTAATTAGTGACAGAGCCAGGAGCAGACAAATTAAGACACCATTGTGCTTAATCATGCCCAAATAACCACACTTCTTTGTTTCTCCCATTTGAAGCCTTGGGGGCAGAGATGGCTTCATCTCCAGCACAGGGACTTGATGGATATTAGTTATGGTCTGATTCATGGTCTGATACCCAGAAAATCAAATCATTCGAGTCAAGAATTGGTTTTCCCCAGAGGACAATCAGACACCTGACAGTGACTTATGAGAGAAATGTGTAATTTCCCCACACTTTCCTAAGGCAGGGAAAGCATGTCAGTTGTAGCCATTTGTGACTTGGCATCATGAGATTTACTCAGTACCCATCCTGTACTAAATATCTGATCATTCCCCTTCTACTAACTCCCCCCACTTAAAATTAATTGTTCTTTCCCTTACAGGTTAACTACACCTCCCCACTGGTAGCAATGCACTTTACAGACGTGGTGAAGAACCAAGAGGTGCCTGTGCAGTGCCAACTGAAGGGCAAAGGCATCATAAATGATGTCATTAATGATCGTTTTGTGGGTAGGGTAATCTTTACCCTGAACATAGAAACCTAAGAACTCCAGGGGACCACTCCCACCAGTTCTATTCCTGTTTTATTTCATGTTATTCCTGGTAGCACCTGAATTCTTATTCTTCAGTTAGGACACAGCCAGATGGATGCCTAAGATAGCAGGTCATCTTTCCTTGCCTTTGATATATGTATGAAGTGATATTGTGGGAGCTATTTGATTTTTTAAAGGTAGTCTCTCCTGATGACAAATAGAGCATATTAATTTGCTTTCCCTCCACCTAATACAAAACTCATTCTTGCTGTTAGAAACCTCACTGTAGTGTAAACATAGTATCTGATAAATTCCTAGTAGCCATGTTCAGGAGAATGTCTACAATGCTTATAAATTCATCATGTTTCCCAAAATTCAGTTGGTTTTAAAGGTGAGATCCCCTCCCCCCACCAGGCTGATAATCTAATTTGCTCTCTTTTTTATATGCCTGGCAAAGTTTTAACTTGGGAATCACCACTTAGACCAACCCAAATTACACCTAGGGCCACTATATCTATAGAACTCCGTATCCAGGGGTGCATGAGAAACTGACTCTCACAGGCAACTAAATACTGATTCAAAACTAGGTTATCTTCAACTGGGATAGAAAGCAGTAATAACTGGATATTGTTCTGGGATCGAGAAGACCTTTTGTGGGACTTTTTTTGGGAGGTGGGACCCACTGCAATTGGGGAGAACACTTAGCATATGGATGCAATTGGTGGTTGATTCCATGCTCTATGGTATAATTGTCCAAAGGCATACATTCCTGAAAATATGTTTGGCTGAGCTCCAGGCAGAGGAGAAAACATGGAATATCTCCATCAACTAATTCTTCTTGGGCTATTTGCTTGACAGTAGTAAGATATTCTTTGAGACCATCAAGGATGGGTTTGTTGATTCCCAACTACAGCCCTGGGAATTGAAATCAGCTCTGGGAATTGACATACATGGCAAGACAGAAAGATCCTGTCAGGCCACCCTGAAGCCAAGGCTCATTAGCCAGTTTTAGGTTTACTTTTAAAATGACATGAGGCAGATGTTCATCCATGTTGTGGATGAGCCAATTCCCTTGTCTTATCTTTGGCCATGTGACCATTCCATTGCTGCTTAACACCTCCACCAGGGGGAGAGCTGGGACAAAGAGAGAAGGCAGGGGAAAATATCATTAGTGTCTCAGGGTCCAAAGCAAGCTTAAATGCCACTTAGAAGCATCCAGCATGTGAATCTCCTCTACAATGTTTACTTTCTCCCAAAACAGGGAACTGGCAGTCTGGTAGTGAAGACAAGCAAGTAGAAAATGAATTATGAGACAGTGTAACAAGAGTTATAAAATGAGTATGTGGAAATGTTATGGGGAACATGAGGAAAAAGAACTATCTCCAGGTGAGAAGTAGAAGGAAGTTTCACATGCAAAGCCACAATCATGAAAAGACCATCTCATGTTTTTTTTTTTTTTTTCTGTTTTCGGTGGACACAACATCTTTTTTTTATTTTTATTTTTATTTTTTTTAAAGAGAGAGAATTTTTTTAATATTTATCTTTTAGTTTTTCGGCGGACACAACATCTTTATTGGTATGTGGTGCTGAGGATCGAACCCGGGCCGCACGCATGCCAGGCGAGCATGCTACCGCTTGAGCCACATCCCCAGCCCCCATCTCATGTTTTGGTCACTGTAAATTGGACTATAAAGAGATCAGAAGGAAATGGCAGGGAGTGGCAGGAGATTGAGCTAGAGAGGTGTTCAGAGACTTTGAATATTATTCAGTAGGTGTAAAATAGTCTTTAAAGCATTTTTATCAGGAAAGCTCCATGATCACATTTGCAATTTAGGAAGAGCACTTGGGTAATCACAACATAAAGGGTAGATTGGAGCAGGACCCATTCAGGGAATGGGGAGAAGGAACAAAAAATGACCCCAAGTTTCTGAGCTTGGCTAAAACCAGTGAGACGGTGATGTTGTTGATCAAGACTGAGTATAAGAGAGAAGCAGGTTTAGAGAGGAAGTTGTTGAGATCAGTTTTGGACATTTTAGGTTTGTGGTTTCTCTTGGTCAGACATTGATGTGGAGATACAAACACATGTAAAGTTGGAGAGAAGGAAAGTTGAGAACAAAAACAACATTTGGTTAAGTGAACTCACTTAAGAAATCCTAAGCTATTTAATCTTAGGAATTTGAGCCAGTTATGTAAACATACTACACCAATTTCATCCCTAACATAGTGATTTCTCTTGGCTTTGCGGCAGAAAGGACTGCTATTGCTCTTCAGAATCTCCTTCCCAGACACTTTCCAAGTTTTATTAACAGAGTAGAGGAGGACTGACCACTATTAACAAGTGATACAAGACATACACAACAACAGATATATAGAGGAAAAAAAAAAACCCAAACCAGGAAACTATCTCCTCTCAACCCATTTCTACAACAAATTCAATGTTCAAAGTTTACCTTTAAAAATAAGAATAAAAGGTAAAACACAACAACTTAACACCATTTAAAAAGTATCTCAATGGAACTCAAGATTCAGTAATAAAAGAAAATAGAACATTAAATCTGGAAAGAATATTAGAGAGCATTTAGAGTAAACAACTTGCATTGCATCTGACTCCAGGTCCAGTGCTCTTTCTACTCTGAGCTGCTGCTTACCAGGAAGTACCATCTTTTTAAAAATCAATGAATGATATCCTAAGCATTTTGAAACATATGTCAAATTTGAGTTAAAATAGTTGACATTTCACGGGAATTCAACTTCTGGTGCTATATTTTATACATAATACATTATCCTGTTAAATATGTTGACTATTAGACAAGGAATTATGAATCTTTTGTCATATAGTATTTCTCATTCAATGAATTCAATCATGTCCACAATTTAAAAGTAATTGAGTACTAAGATAGTTTGTCAGCTAGGACATGAAAAATTGCTTTTTTATACAGAACTGGATTAATGAATATATTCATTAATGTTAGATTCTAACTGTTCAATAAACTTCTAATTAATTTAAATAGACTCCCATATTGCACTGTATCAGAATTTGATTTGTATACCATCTCTTGCAAGGTACTTGGTTGTACTTGATCGTCAATGAGAAATACTATTTTCAAATGCCTTCATGTTTTTGTCCATGCTGAACTTTGGTTATGATTTTTCACTCTCCACCCCTCAGAAATCATTATTCTAAAGTAATCTTTCTTAGGCATCTATTTGCTGGGATCTTCATGTAGAAAACATTTATATTGTCTTGGGGAATTGTTGACAACAATAAATTGACTTAAAAAAAAGAAATGTATGATTTCCTCTTTCTACACTGGATCACTGATTTTCCCACAGGAATATTGGGCAGCTGTGTGGATGGAAAACTTGACAATTGACAACCTATTAGTTCAAGACTGTTTGGTTCCCTCATCCCAACTTCCCACCCACAGAAGGGTAAAACTGAAAGTTGTTTCATTTCTGGGCATTTTTCCTTTTGTGGTCTCTGTGCTACAGTTTATCGGAAGATTGCTTCATCAGAGCAGGCTTCCTTTCCTCATCAAGGTTGAGTCCAGACACCAATTGTTCTGTTTGTTTGTGTAGTAGATGAACACTAAGAAGAACTGTGAGGTGGAGGAATGGAACCAAAGAGAAACTGCAAGTGTTTCATTAAAGCCTGGCTAAGAGACTTCAGGGCAAATCCAGCCACAAACTGTCTCCCAGAGCCAATCTCTAGTGGCAACTGCAATTAAAAACAAATATTTCTAGTCGAGATGTTGTGGCACCTGCCTGAAATCTCAGAACTCAAGATCCTGAAGCAGAAAGATTGCAAATTCAAGGCCAGCCTTGGCAATTTAACTTAGTGAGACCCTGCCTTGAAATTTAAAAAATAATAAAAAATAAAAAGGACTGGGGATATAGCTCAGTGCCTAAGCACCTCTGGTTCAATCCATAGTACCAAATAATAATAATAAAACAAATATTTCCCTTATTCAACTCCAAAGCTGCAGCAAGAATCCCTTCTTACCTTGGAAGCTACTCTGGCCTAAGATCTACTAGGATGTTATGGTTTGATTTGGGAGGTTCCAGTGATCCCAATATATTTCTCCCATATAGGTTATTCATTAGAGTCATTTTCTTTACTAACTTCCCCTTAAAATATTCATACATAATAAAAAAATTAACCAAATCATACAAAAGTGTGATTCATACTGTGCTTTATTCAAGTAGAAGATAGAGTCTTGGGTTCTTGTGTGTGTGTGGGGGGGGGGTGAGAATAGATAAGATGGATGGAAGCAAAGGGAAGAAAAAATGAGTTGAAAAACTACTTCTCACAAAGTTCTTTTAGTTGCAGGCTAGAAGGTTGATAGGGAAATTCAAAATGTTTAAGAAAGATATATAGGGGCTGGGGTTGTGGCTCGGTGATAGAGCACTCGCCTAGCATGTGTGAGGCACTGGGTTCAATCTCCAATACCACAAAAAAATAAATAAAGATATTGTGGCCAACTACAACTAAAAAATAAATATTTTTTAAAAAGAAGGATATATAATGGGCTCTCAATCTGGCAGGTTACTCTCCAGAATGTTCTTCCTTGCAGGCTTCTTGGTGGTCATAACATCAGTCAGGGTCCCAACTAGAAATAGCACACTTGACCATAAATGGAAGAGGGTTCATTTACAAGGGATTATCTATAAAAGCATAGATGTAGGGAACCACAAGTAGTACAGAAATGCAGGGCAGTAGGAGCTCTTACCATCCCTGGACCCTAAGTTACAGAAACTAGAAATAGTTACCAGAACCTAGAAGGAGTGATTCATGTACAGGTGGCTGCCTTGGGAAGAGTGGTGACCTTATTGAAATGCTAAGATAACCCAAAGTGATCTTGTAGGAAAGGAATAAATACAGAAAAAAAACAGAAGAATAAATACTGCAACTTAATTTTCCTCTTTCCTTCTGCTCTCCTGCTGGTAATTTCCTTGGCCAAATCTAGCCAAAACCCAGAAGGCAAAGAAGCCTATTGATGTGGTTCATATAGGTCAGCCTCCTAAGTAAGAAAGCAGGATGGAAAAGGGTAGAGGGTGTCTGGAGAGTTAAATTGGAGATAACTACTACAGTCATCAAGCGGAGGCTCTGTGAGCAGACTCATGGCAGCCTGGTACCATGCTAGAACCATCTACTGAACCAGATATTACCAAATGTTTCTTATGGAACTAAACTGTCCCATGCTGAGAACCATTGCTCTAACCAATGGGGCAAGATTCATATGAACTATAATCTGTGGCTGCCACCTGGACCTTTTGATCTCTTTGTGTCCAAGGACCAGGAGGCAAGAAAAGTCACCATCTTAACTTGGTCACTTGATCTCACTGTCAGAAGGAGGTGGAGTTGCAGTTATACAAGGGAAACATGGGAGGAATTCTCTGGGGGTCAGTCTCTAGCAGAAGCAGCTGCTAGGTTGGCTGGCTACTCTGTCAGAGATTTGGCCAGTAAGGCGACAACATGCCCAAGTAAGTTTATTACTTACATAGACAGCATAAGTAATATAAGCATAGTGTTAGCTCCCCACATCTTTATTCCCCAGGAGGACCTTGAACCATTGGAGTCAGATGACAGATGACATGACTGGTAGGTCACTCTGTTTCTGAGAGCCAATTCTACACTGCAACTGAGTGGTGTGATAGTCTGTAGCTATAAACTAAAAAAGCCAAGATGGATAGTTCCATGCCTCACAGAAGCAAGGGAGGTAGATGAGAGCCTCATTCTGTCATCCTTCTACAACAAAGAGAGCTCCATCCAAGACTACTTTCTTGTCATGTTCTTGAAAATGGCCACTGCTTTCCTTCTGTCCTCCAATTCTCCCACAAAAATCTCTCACCCTAATTGGAAACATAAAGGAAATGGGAATGTAGCTGAACCTAAAGAAGTTTACCCATTACAAACCTACCACATGAAGTATTTTATAATTTAATCATCATGGTGAATGAAATATTTTCCCCATATCTATTTCTCCTCAGCTAGTAATAGAGGAAATTTCTTTTTTTAGAGAGAGAGAGAATTTTTAATATTTATTTTTTAGTTTTTCGGCGGACACAACATCTTTGTTTGCATGTGGTGTTGAGGATCGAACCCAGGCTGTACGCATGCCAGGCAAGCGTGCTACCACTTGAGCCACATCCCCAGCCCTAGAGGAAATTTCTTTTGTTTAATCTTATAGCCTGCAATCTTGACAATTTTATTAATTATATAAATATTTATTACTGTCACTTGCATTTTCACATGAGAAAAAATAATAACTCTTTTTTGAGTATTTATTATGCTATACCATTTTCTTTTATATTGTACTTATTGGAATTTCAAATAATATAATGTCATTCCTGATTATCTTGAAAACATTTTTTAGTGTTTTACTCTTCAAAATATTTGCTTTTTGTTTGACTTTTAAAAAATTAAATTTACTTTTTGATTGACAATATAAAATTTGTACA